AACAGATACAATTGAGGACGACGTGTTGGCTTACCACCAAGGATTGGTTCTTGTTCCTGGCGGAAGTGACAGTATTGTAACTGGCCCTCACATCAGAGGCAGTAGATTACGGGCATCCGCTGCTGGCGATGAAGAAGTCGATCTCCTTCTTCCTGGAACAGCCAGGTAACTAACTCTCAGCTCATTGGCAAATGAGAAACTAAGATTTAAACTTAACATAGGAAGATCAATGGTGCTCAATGTGATATCGAAAACTATTGCCAAAACACTCAAGTTATGTCCCCCGGTCTCGGTTATAGACTTTGTTCAATCTTGAACCGGTTTTTGAGAAAGTTGTTGTCTTACAATGCAGGTTGCAGATACAGCAAGGAGTGAACATGCCGGCAAGAGCAGAGCTAATACCGGGAAGAGAAGAGAAAGATAAGCAGATTTTACATGAATGCTGCGACGTCGTGCTTTACCTCGGCATTATAGACATATTACAAGAGTACAACATGACCAAGAAGATCGAGCACGCTTACAAATCTCTTCATTTCGATTCTATTTCGATCTCAGCCGTTGATCCAACGTTCTACTCTCAACGTTTTCTTGAATTCATCAAGAAAGCGTTTCCACAGAACAACAACTCATAGAGAAAGAATTTGAGTACAGTTGATGTTTTTTTTTGTTTTGTAGAGGAAAAATGCAAAAAGAATTGTTGTAACAACAACTTGTAAGTATTTTGTAAAACAGAGCTTCAGTAATAAAACTTATTTTTCTTATTCTCTGAATCGCCGCAACCGCTAAACGTAATCGCAATTTTTGATTGCATGAGAAGTTTGGTTTTATTATCAAAACGCAAGAAACCGGAAACAAGGCAACAAAAGACGCGTGGACATAAGAAGGACTTTGTAAAAGAAAGTTGAAACCGAACCTGATACGTGTCGTGAAGCGTAATGTCGGAAAAAGAAAAGAGGCAAAAAAAAAGTGTTCAATTTTTTTCATAAACGTTTTCTTTGCTTTGTAAAGAATAAAAAAAAAGTTTCTTCCTTTTTCTTAGTTTGTTTGAATCATCTGCACAGGAAAAGTTTTCTTCTTTTTTGATTCATTTTTACAAAGATACAAGAAGCAGCTTCATTACAATACATTAAAAGAAGACAAAAATCAGTTTTTTTTTTTTTAAAGTAGGGTATGGTTTTAATTTGATCTGATCTCTCTTTTCTACAGTATTAGATCGGGAAAAGAGAAAGAGAGAAAAAAAAAATAGAGAGTTTTAGAGTGTAGAAAATGGGATCTTCTTCAGGGCAAAGTGGATACGATCTGTCTTTCAAGATCTTGTTGATTGGAGATTCTGGTGTTGGTAAAAGTAGTTTGCTTCTCAGTTTCATTTCCAGCTCTGTCGAAGATCTTGCTCCCACCATTGGTATTTGATTTGGTTTTATGTTTGGTTCCTGAGAAAATAACGTTTTCTTGTTTGGATGTTGTTGACTTAAAACACTATCTCACAGTTTCTGAGCTTAGATCCTTTGTCTGGTCAAAATTCAAATGAAGTCAAACTGAATTTGAGACTTTTGTATCA